AGATTCTCTTTGTAATGGAGCAGTTTATGTGATACTAATACAACTGATACGTGCCAAAAGCCTAGAAGTGTGTCCCAGGCCTCATCCTGCACCCAATGCATCTCAAGTTCTCCAAAGTATATAAGCACAGCATGTCTGGGCCTTGCTGAATGTATAGATACAAATGTGGCTATAGATACAAAGGAAGGCACCTTCTTCCCCATCCCTTCCCTCTTCTTAGCAGAAATGAGTGGCAGCCATGCTTTCCAGAATTAGCTAAAGGCTTAAGGAGGCATCAATGGACTATGAAGTGAAGGACAAAGTAGGGAACTTGGGAAATCAACCTTGAACTGTGTAAATACAGTGAGTTGTGTGGTGGTGGGAATGTCTTGAGAAAACATTCCAGAGGAACAAGGACACACAGAAAGTGGGACGGGGACAGGTGTGACCCAAGCCAAGCAAAGAGGGAAGATCTTGGTGTGCTGAAAGTGCAGTATGCAACTGAGGTGAGCATCAAGCAGTCCCAGGGCTCTCCAGGTCCAGCTCAAAGATCAGGGTGCCCGAAGCACCAGGTATGTTCAAGGAGTGCTGCTCCAGGTCAGATGTTTGTACTCCTCTGACATTCACAGGGCACAACACTCATTGACTATGACCTTAACAGGAAGTAGGAACTTTGTCAAGTCACAAATGGGATTAGCACCCTTATACTAGAGGCTTCAGCCTCTCCTTCTCCACCACACAAAGACACTACGAAAAGACACTGTATAGCTAGAATACAGGTCCTGACAAGATGCCAGGTCTTCTCAGTCTCTAGACTTGTGAGGAACAAATGTGTTTCATTATTCAGTCACCCAGTTTGCTGTGTTGTTATATCGCCCAGACTGGGCTGAGACAATGCGATTTGCACAACTCCAGAGAAGCCACGAAGAGACATCCTAACGGCAGTGAAGTCTGCAGTGGTGGATAGGCTGAACTCTACACACAGCTTGAACTCATAAGCCCTGCAGCTCATTTTGGAAGTTTCCTGTGAGTTTTTGCGCTTGGGAATGTTTTGTTAGAATTAAGAGAGAACTGTTGTCACCTCTTGTGGTAGTTATTCTTAGTTGTCAATGTAACTGTACCTGGAATTAACAAAAAGACAAGCAGATGGGTACATTTCCCTGTGAGGTTTTTTTTTTCTTAACTAAGTCATTTGAAGTGGGAAGATCAATGCTAAAGTCCGATCTTTTGAGGTGGGAAGAGCCACCTTAAATCTGGGCCATGTCTTTTGGTGGCAGCCTATCTGAGGGATTTGGAAGAAGGAAGAGCTTGCACTTTGCATGCTTGTTCTTGTTCTTACTGTGGCAAGTTCATCCCTTCAGTGGCTTTAGAGTCTACTTCTTCATGATTCTTTCTTATTCTGAAGACCAGCTGAGACATCCAGCCCTGAGAACTGAACAACTGCTACATTCTTGAACTTTCTATTGGTAGACTAGGTGGATCACAGCCAGTCTGTAAACTACTGTAATACATTCTTTAATAAATACTCACATATATGTATATATTATATCATATATATGTTCTTTAGAGGAACATAATGCAATATATATCATATAATATGTATATCCTATATGTTTTATTCTTCTAGAGAAACTTACTTAGCTAGAACATTATATATAGTGGGCACAAAAATTTGCTGAATAAATAAACTAATGGGCTATGGAGAGAAGGAAGGAGTAATGGGAAATTCTAGATAGCATGGCAGCCTATAACCTGAGATAGTGACAGCATTTGACTGACTTTCCTTCAATATGGACTAGGAAAAAGTTATACTTTTCTAAGTGTATAATCCTTGTTTTAATGCCCACGCAGCATCTCAATACATCTCAAACACACTATATTTACCCTATTCCTATAATTATGTTTAATATCTTACATGTCTTATTGACACTGGAAACATTTTACCCATTATTTACATTATTAATTAGTATATGTTGAGTTGCTTTATGTGGCTGTATCCCAGCCATTGCAACAATTACAGTAAATAACAGCAGGTTTCTATTATGTAGAGAATACCATGTTCTTTGGTTTATATAGGTATCCCTCTTAGATTTCATGTGTCAGCAAAATTCAGATTTTAATCCCATGTTAGAGAGTAAGATATCTCAGAATGATCTAAGATCCTGTGGGTAAACACTGGGGTTCTGGAGATTCCCACCCATCTGCTAATAGGTTTCTGTCGCTTGAGGAAAAGTGCCAAGTCAGCATCCATGAAGACAGTCACGTCTGTGGTATAAACGATCAAGTTTTTTCCTGTACTGTTTGTGAATGTCACCCTAAACACAGGGCTTTACAGAGGAACAGTGTGACTGCTGTATCACTTTCTAAGAAGTGATGAATTCACTATCAGTGGTGGGCAGGATCCATCAGGCATCAGTGTAGGCTGAGGCTTTGCTTCATCTGCTACTTCTACAAGGCTCTCCTGCCTCTCTGATGCCCACTGGAAATCACTCCACAATGGGCACCGGTGTGTTCTTCCTAGGATCCCAATACAACCCTGTCATTTCCTTTTTGAAAATCAGCTTGACGTGGAATCTGTTTTGTTTTTGTTTTTTGTCTACCAGAAGACCACCATCTTCAGCTGCAACACAGCCAGTCATTCCCGTCTAATTGCAATGAGGTCTATAGCTTACCTGGCCAGTGCAGCACCATTATTAAAAAGCTAGACCTTCCTACTCCGTTGTTTTGCATATTTTTTCTCTGCCTAAAACGCCAACACTAATATCTTATATGTGTATTATTTTATGGCTCATTGGACTAATACAAGGTCCACAAAGAAAGAAAATCTGTATTTTCAACAGCCATATCTCCATATCCATTGTCCAGCACGTAGTAGGTTTTAATAAATATTTTCTCTGGATTCTTCTAAGGTAAAGAAAAGAAGAAAGCGTGTGTTCAGGCAAACTTCCTGGAGTCCTGGGAAAGCCCGTACTTCCTTGGGCCCTCTTCTTGTAGTGGGTGCATTGTCATACAATGGGGATGACTTGTTTCACATTCCTTCTCTGGGGCTAGACTGAGCTCTTAGGTGGAGGAAATCAAATCTTACTCATACTTGGATCTTCAGCACCCAGGCTTAGCTTGTTGTAAGCCAGTGGTTCTCAACCTTCCTAACGCTGCAGCCCTTTAATGGAGTTCCTCATGGTGTGGTGACCCCCAACCATCAAATTATTTTTGTTGCTACGTCATAACTGTAATCTTGCTACTGTAATGAATCATAATGTAAATATCTGATATGCACAGGATCTGATAGTTGATCCCTGAGAAAGGGCCTTTGACCAATAGGCTGAGAATCACTGTCATAAGTCATCTTCACAGACTTCCCAGAACCGCAACTGCAGCTGTAGGAATCGCATGAGGTCAGCAGGGGTGTTATTTAACAGATAAAAAGTAGAGACCCGGGTAGGAAAGAAAATTACCGACCTAATTCTCTTCTGAAATCAGAGACTGGTGCTGGAACGTGGGTCTTTCAAACCTTATCATGGGGAAATTTGGTAGAGGCCACATGGAACCTTTCTCCATGGATCCCCAGTAGTGACTGCCTAAGAACTGTTCTTAAACTTGGCCAAAACTACAGAAATACACCAGTCTGTATTCATGGTGACATCTTCATGTAGTTATGCCAGATTAAGGAATCAGGAGACTGAGTCCAAGGCAGATGTATAGGGAGAAGGATGTGAGAAGTGTCAAGAGACATGGACCACTTTATTTTCCTTCCAAATCTGTCCTCTAGGGTGGCCAGCTGGACAAGAAAGTCCTTTTGGCGTTCCCAGTTAGCCCCCAGGGACCTTCTTTTCATTAGAGCGACTGTTGTCCCAGTTAATATAATTATAACTAGTTGTCTATTTTGTTCAAAAGTGGTATTACGGAAGACTGTTGCCTTCCTGTGTAGCAAGAGGTGCCTTAAGCAGGTAAAAACTCAGAGGACTCCCAGCAACCTTGCCCCAGGCCATCTCTTTCTCTTTCTGTTTCCCCCTAGTATATTGCTTCTTTTACCAGAATGCATTTGGTAAGGTCTAGAAATTGAAGTCTGAAGCCCTGGCCTGAACTTTCCTTGGGTCTGCTCAAGCCAGTATTCAGGAACCTTCCCAGGAAGTTAAGAATAAGCCTGGGGAGAAAGTGCAGCCTTCCTTTGACCCCAGCATTGAATGTGTTCCTGAGAAGCCCAGCTCTGGCTGGAAGCCAACATCACTCGGTGGAAATGTGGGTGCAAAGGTGCCTCTCCCTGAGCCTCCAAATAGACCTTGCCCTGAAGCTAAAAGATGCTGAAAGTATCCCGAATCCTGTAACTGAGGAGTGGGGGAAGGGAGGAGGAGGTGGCGACACCGACCAAAAGCCCACAAAGGACTTCTGTGACTTCTGTGAAATGAGAAGCGCTGGAGAGAAAGAATGAAACTAATTCTAAAGACTGGGAAGCAGAGCTGTTGCAAGAATCGTTCTTCAGAAACTAAGCAGCTCCTCTGTCAACATCACATCAGAGGGGGCCCGAAGCTCCAAGGACGCATGGCTTTCTGCAGAAAACCAGAACGAAGAGGATCTAATTCCCAAAGTTAACCTGAGCCCGCCCGCCTTGGTTGCGTGGCGGCGGGGGTAGATACACAGCCCAGCATCCCTCCTAGCTCAGCAGCGCGCGCAGCAGGCCAGGCATGCCCGGAGCCCTGGACCGCGGAAGGATATAAAGCACTGTTTACCTCCCGCCTGGCCAAGCCTTCCAGGGGCGAGGCCGGCGCCCAAGGCTGGGGCGCTGCGGGAGTGACGGCAGCTGCCCTGGCCGCCGGCGGGCGCTGGGGAGCCGTGCGCGCACTGGCAGCGGCGCCGCTGATTGATGGGCGCCCGGTTCAATGACATGGGCCGGGGCGCGGGTGAGGCGGGGCCGGCGACGAGGGCGGGGGCTCAGAGGAAATGTGTCAGTGACATTGAATGGGGAGACCGAGCGCGAGCGAGCGGGGCGCGCGCACACATACGCGCACACACAGCCGGGCTCGCTCCGAGATCCCCGGCCACGTAAGTAACTATTAATACCGCCTCGCCCGGGGATGCGGGCGTGCTGAGCGCCGGGATTGGCCTAGGGCGCCTGGCCATCCCCTTTAATTTTTAAATACACGATCCTCTCCTACTTCTGGGTGGCAGGAAAAAAATAATAAAGGAAGAAAAGCCGTCGATTTCAATTTTCTCCTCCAGAACAAACCCCTCCGTGCAATTTGGTCGCAAGGCATCTGAAGGCAAGAGTGGTTTGCAAATTTTTCCAAGGCTCAAGACCCGGTTGTGCAGCGGGAAAGGAACGCCGCTGGTTGGCAGGGTCCAGGGAGCATCTGCTGCCAGCTCCTGCAGGACCCCTGGAAGCTCCTGCCAGGGACACAGAGATCGCTGGTCGCTGGTCTGCCCAGGTCACCACCCGCACTTCTTGCTTCCTTCGGAGGAGGATCCCGGACGCGAGCAAGCGGCGACAGCAGGAGCCAGTGCTGACCTCGCGCGGGCTCAGCCTTGGGCTTTGTCGTGGTACCTGTGCCTCCTCCACTCCTGCACTCCCTGCTCAGTTTTTGCAATCTTTTGTTGGCACCGCTGACCGCTCCAAGTTAAATGCTCCTTTGCTATTTTGCTTTTTTTCCTGTCTACTTTTTTTTTTTGAGAGCTCTGCGATTTTTTTTTGAAAAGCCTCAGACGCCATCTACAGTTAAGACTTAGGTAACTGCCCTTTCTAGCACCCCCTTCCACGCCCCCCACCCTTTTCACCAAAAAAGGGGGGTGCAGCGCGGATTCTGACTGCCGCGCGGCGTGAACCGGTAGACTGGTGCTTATTTCCTTTTTCTTTTTGTTTGGTTTCTAACGCGTGGAGGGCGAGCCGGCGCCGCGCGCTCCCTGAAGACTGCACAAACTCCACGCAGGGCTCCTCCGCCCGGTCTGCGGATCCTCAGCTGGGGATTGCTCGGGATTCCGGCGCTGCAGCTCCGCAAGCCAGAGGCACACTCACTCGTTCAGATCCACGCTGGAACAGAGACCCACATACTCCAGAGCGCGGTTCTGCACCGCGCTGGCTGCGTCGGGGTAACAAAAGGACCCGAGTTGTCTGCTGAGCGAGCACCCCCGGGAGCGGGGCTCGCAGCCGGGGACCTGCCCTGCGGCGCCCATCCGGGGGCTAGCTCCTAACTCTTCCCCCACGGAGCCCTAGTCGCGTCCCCTCCCCTTTTGATCCTTTTAAGTCGGTGGCACCGAGGCGCCTGCAGCCGCGGCTCATCCATCTCTCCAGCGGGGTTTTTGGTTTGTTTGTTTGTTTGGTCGTGTGCGATTCCCCACACTCATGAACATTCACAGGTCTACCCCTATCACAATAGCGAGATATGGGAGATCGCGGAACAAAACCCAGGATTTCGAAGAGCTGTCGTCTATAAGGTCCGCTGAGCCCAGCCAGAGTTTCAGCCCGAACCTTGGCTCTCCGAGCCCGCCCGAGACTCCGAACTTGTCGCATTGCGTTTCATGCATCGGGAAATACTTACTGTTGGAGCCTCTGGAGGGAGACCACGTTTTCCGCGCTGTACATCTGCACAGCGGAGAGGAGCTGGTGTGCAAGGTAACCAGCCCCGGCATTACTTTTGCTTAAAAAAAAAATCATCCCGGTCCTCTGACAGGGGCTGGGATAGGGAGGAAGGTCGCTGAGCCCTGGAGTCCAGGGCGGGAGGTTCGTGGAATCATTACGCGTGGCCTTGTTAAATGGATTTATTTGTGTGTCTGTCCACGTTTGACGAGTTGCGAAGTTTTTAGACCCTTTCAGACAATAGGGCGGGCTGCGGCGGGGGCGTTTTGGGGAGAGCCGGGGAGGGTTGTGAGTCTGAGCAGGGGCACGGACACGCGTGCCCTAGGAAGCTGGTCGAACTCCTGTGCACCAGGTTGGGTACCCTTGCCTGGGGATTTCTCTCTCCGTCGAGCCCCCTCCCCTCCCCAGGAGGACTAGGGAATCCCTGGTTGGTTTTCAGACAAGGCTCACTTGGTTCCCTTTGTAGCCATTGTTCTTAGCAGTCTGCAGGTGCTAAACCTTTGTTCCAAAGGTGCCCTTTACACAAAAAAAACAAAAAGCAAAAACACTGTCCCCTCTGGCTGAGCCCAGGGCTCTAGTGGGCAAGGGCGTTTTAAAGCCTTTTCTTTTGCTTGGAGCCTGGAAAGGAAGGCTGGAATAGAAATCAACCCCTTGCGCACTTTTGGGAGAGCAAGGAACCCTCTGGCCCTGTCTTTTTGTCCGGGTTTCTTCGCACCTTCAGATTTCCTGTCTGCACACCCTGGTGGCTGCTCCCATGGCACCCACAACACCGCCGTTGCCTGTTTAGAGACTGTCCTTTGGAACCCCCTGTGCTAATACCAAGAAGGGCACGTCAGTTTCCTTTTTGTCTTTGACCCTGAACAGTGACCGTTTTGTGTCTCCCTGTGTCTGTGTGTCTTTGTGTGCGTTCACCAAGGGGACTGGGAGAGTAGGAACAAAATATTCGACTACAGTCTCTTTCCTATGCAGAGGAGAGCAATACTACCTAGAACTGGATGTGGATCAAGAATACATTACCACTAAAATTTAGGTCTTTTGCGTTGTTTTCTTTATTTCTTGAGGGTAAAGTGGGGTTCCTGCTGCCTCTGAAATGGGTACCATGCACGTCTGTGCTACAAATACTGTATTACACTTTCCTCATTCATTGCTGGCGGCTTTGTGAAATCGCCCTATTTCGTGTTGAATTGGAGCGCTTTCCTTGCAAAAACCGGATGGGTGAAGATCTCCAGGCAGTTTTGAGATTAATTCGGAACTTAAAGGAAACCAAAGACTCTTTAAATATTGCTTTTTGCATGTACTAAGCACTGGGGGCACCTTCTCCAAGTTAGTGTAATCAAGAGCAGCTATGCCCAGCTAAAGCATTAAATTCAGTAGGCAACTCTGAGCCTGTGGAGAGCCCTGCACACTGCACAATAGGACAGTCATCCTTCGAAATGAATGAATCCACCAAGCTGTCATTCTCCTATGAAATATGCACCATCATCGGCAGTCGCTGTTCCCCCTCCCTTTGCTCAACTTCAGCACAGCATTTTACTATTTTTTTTTCCTCCCAAAGGCTAGAGATGATTTTAAGTAATGAGAATCCGCTGCCAAATCCTGCAGGAGCATCTTGCTATTATTTCTTTGTTTAAAACCAGGCTTGTCTCTGGCCTCTGTTCTTTCTCATTTCAGATCCTTCAAGACATATTTCACTGTAGGCTGACCTTACAGTGTTGTTTGCAGACTTGCTCTCTGGCCCCAAACTGTACTTAATCTGCTGGTTTAGTTATTGCAAAGATTGAATCAGCCCCTCACCAATTACAGTGCGGCTGCAAGTGGATTTAAGTGCAGTATCATTGTTCTGCTTGACAGAGGTCATCCCTTTACAACTCAGCAGCTTCTGTTCTCCTGCCTTCTTACCTGAGGTGCTGTGGGTGACTTCTACAAGCATAATTGTGTGCCAGACTCTCCAGGAGAGTTTTATGATGGTGATGCTGGGAGCTACCCCAATATATGCACTGTGAAGCATTTTTTTTTTTTTAAAGCTTGCTACAATGTTGAATCCACCTCCTTTTGATGTCTTAGCGTGTGGGGTTCCTGTTTCTTAGCTGGGTGTTCTTGCAACAAAAAGTGCAAAAGCAGATTAAACAGAAAGGTTGTGTTTACTGGGGAAGACTCTGCAGAGGGTTCTGGAGGGCATTCTTTTCTGGGAGGGGGATGCAGAGTAGACCTTCCAAGAAAATAGCCCAAATTCCCCAGCCTGATTATTGTCTCCACGTGCCCACTTTAGTTGGCCAAAGGAGGGGCAGATCTTTAAGGGTTGTTTAGCTGTTTTCACAAAAATTCTTGTAGCTACTGTGCAAAATGACATAATTACTATCTTGGCAGAATGGGCACTTCTTTTTTTCCCCCTCAGACATGATGAATGTGGCCTGATCGTAGGGCCTTATCTGAACTGTCACATTATATAACCAAGGCTCCCAATTAAACATTTAAAAGGAGCTGGCATCCAGGCTCATGGCTTGATTTTTTTTTTTTTTTGGACTTGAGGGTGATTGTTTAAATACCAATCCAAGCCTATAAATGCCTGTTATAGCCACTAATAAAAGTTTGGCGCCTTCCCGTGTAGGAGGACGTAAGCACTTCTTTTAGTTTTTTTTTTTCCTTTTCTGTGTACCATTTTGCAGTCTTACACTCTCCCACAAAAGGGATGGCCGCACTGGAGAGCGACTGGGAATTTGTTGGGTACTTTCATTAATTCTCTGTCCATTCAGTTTTTCAGCCCCGCTCGGGGAGAGCAGGCTAACCATGCTGAGCAGAAGGTTGTTTTGTTTTATTTTTATTATTGTTATTTTAAAGGTAACTGGAAACAGGAAGTGCATTATAAGTAATTAGAACTGTAGGCAGTGGAGACAGAACCCACATCCTGGCCCTGCAGAGCAAATCATGCTTGTTATATAATGCAGCCTGTTGATATTAGCCATTGTGTGTGTGTATGTGTGTGTGTGTGTGTGTGTGTGTGTGTGTTCCTCGATGAAATTCCTCCCTGGTTTTGTGGCCTGCTGTCTCTGTGCTAAGGTTGACTCAAGCATTTCAGATTCCTAATTGAGCAGGCCTCTGAGGTCACCGCTCTGAGGTCATCCTTTGACAATATCTGGGTGTGATTTGTGGTCTCCGGGGAGGTTCCAGCATTCATTCTTAAATTCGAGGGTGTAGTGGCAACAGCTGTGGCACTTTCCTGAGCTACCTCATTATGGCTCATTCACAGCCTTTCTGTTGACTTTGCTTCCTCAGCCCCAGTTAGCACCAGCCCCCTTGAGGTGCTTATTGTCCCTGTTTGACTCACAGGTTTTTTTTTTCTTTTTTCTTTCTTTCTTCCTTCCTTTCTTTTTTCTTTTTTCTTTTTTTTTTTTTTTTAATACTCAGTTACTTAACTCCTGGATTTTCACATTGCAGCCTGTGTTCCTGCATGGGCCCCAGAAAGTCCAGGAATCCCTCAGAGGGTTCTAAGATATTGCACGCATTTGAGACTGAGCCTTGGCAGTGAAGAGAATTGAGACAGAGCTTCCTGGGTGGGATCAGGACCCAGGGAAGGTGGTGGTGTCTAGGTCAGGATATTTTTACAAAGAGGGAGGTTCTTTGTCTCTGTGCGTTATCCATCCTATTTGGATGAAGCCAGCCAGAGTGATGATGATCCCCTAGACAGGGGGTTTCTCTGGCATCTCTCCTACCTCTTTCCAAATACTGGGGATGGGGTTTCACCTGGGACCAACTGACAGGCGCTCATTGCTGCACAGAAGACAAGCTAGAGTTTCTGCTAGACCTTCTTTTAAAGGAAACACCCCCTCACCCACCCCATACCACTTCCAAGTAACACTCCCCTTACCACATCCCTCCCACCCTGCCCAGAGCAAGGGAAACCCCATTCCAATCCTAAGTGCTGGTGTAGCTGAGTTAGTATAGGCTTTGAAATGAATGGAAAGCTCCCCTTTCCACCCTCAACATTTTTCTATTGTGTTCATTTCTCTTAGGTCGATCTGTTCAGAAGGCATTGACGGTGCATTTTTCTTTTTAAGGAACAGGGAGGTGGCATTTCACAGGCTAACTCTGATTCATAGAAAAATCATTGCATGATTGATTCATTGAGTTAGGTATCTGTGGAAGGAAGCCAGTCCGATCCCCTATGGAGACGGCCCATGTGCTATTCCTAACGCTGCCACTGGGGGCAAGATTTAAGCTTGTTTCTTTTGCCTGGGTTTGCCCATCTGTAAAATGAATTCATAGCACGTGGAGAACTATTAAGGAAAGTCTAGATGTATGATGAATTAATTGTACATTCGTGTGCATTTTGGTGCACTTATAAAACATAAATAGATGTTTTTGCCCAGTGGTCACTTGATTTTTTTTTCTCTAAGTATTTTTTGTAGTCATTTTTTCTTCTATAAATATGTTCTCTCCTGGGGAGAATAATAAATCCCTTTGGACTTAGGTACTAGCTCAGACGGTCAAGTGCTTGCCAAACAAACAAAATCTGAGTTTGACTCTTGACATTCACATCTAAAAAGCTAAATGTGGTGTTGCATACTCTAATAATACAGGGACAGGAGGATTCCAGGGCTCTGTAGGTCCAAGGCCAGTGAGAGACCCTGTATGAAGTTTCTTGAGGAGGCATACCTGAGGTTGACCTCTGGCCTCCACACACAGACACATATTTATACACACAGACACACAGGCACATACACACATAGAGAGATACACACAGACACACAGGCACATACACAGACACACACACAGACAGACACACACACACAGACATACAGGCACATACATACATAGAGACACACACAGACACACAGGCACAGACACACACACACACACACACATAGACATACAGGCACATACACAGAGAGAGACACACACAGACACACACATACAGAGACACACAGACACACATAGGCACATACACACATACACAGACACATAGACACAGAGGCATACACACACACACACACACACACGCACTGAATAATAAAGCTTAGCGTTTGTTTATTTACTTCATTTTCCCCTTAAAATCCCCCCAATATTGAATCAATTTTCATTTACCCATTTTGTGTCAAAGATTAGGAGGTTCTGGGCGGTCAAGAGATTAGTTGTGCACTATACAGCGGGTAGCAGGCAGAACTGGTGTGCTCGGGGTCTGAGTTCCCTTTATGCCATGTCAGAGCACAAGCCCGTGGGAGGCTTCAGCATTCTGTGGTTTGGGTCGTAGGAGGCACCGCTGACGCTGACTGGGATCTTGTCAATTCTGTTTTAGGTGTTTGAGATCAGCTGCTACCAGGAGTCCCTGGCCCCGTGTTTCTGCCTGTCTGCCCACAGCAACATCAACCAAATCACAGAAATCCTCCTGGGGGAGACCAAAGCCTATGTGTTCTTTGAGCGGAGCTATGGAGACATGCATTCCTTTGTCCGCACTTGCAAGAAGCTGAGGGAGGAGGAGGCAGCCCGACTGTTCTACCAGATTGCCTCTGCTGTGGCCCACTGCCACGATGGAGGGCTGGTGCTGCGTGACCTCAAGCTACGGAAATTTATCTTCAAGGATGAAGAGAGGTGAGTGTGGCTCAACCCATGCAGATGTGTGTGTGTGTCTCTCTCTCTGTGTGTGTGTGTGTGTGTGTGTGTGTGTGTGTGGTGTGTGTGTGGCTGCTTTGATAGAGTGTCTTCATCTGCATCGGCAGGGAGCTTGTTCTGCTGCCTGCTGTCCAGGTGAGGGTTAAGGCAAAGAGAACAAAGAGAGAATATTGTGGTGCCCCCGTGCTATCCTCGGCAAACAAGAAGCCATTACTCCTATCGTGAAATGTTCAAAGGCCAGGGGATGGGGTTAGTCTGTGGCCTGCTGAATGTGTGTGTTTTGTGTAATGTATTCTGAAGGGGGCTACAAGCCAGTGTGGCAGTTTTGAAGTCGACAAAGACAGGCTTCTAAAGACCCTGTGCCATCAGAACACTCACTACCTAGAGGACATTGTTTATAGCCCTCCCACTACAATGTAGCTGTTTCCCATGCATGTATTAGGTGTGCCCCCCAGGACTGGTAGTGAATGTCAGACACAGGACCTACAATAGCTAGAGGCGAGTCCCCAGCCCTGTGTAATGTGATGTAGGGATTGTTAGTTCTAACTGGATCCTGAAGAACCAAGGAACATGTTAAGGTGAGAAGAGCCTATCAGAGGTCAGGTTGGAAGGACTGGCTTCCCAGGTGAGGAGCTGATGGTGTAAGTTTTTGCACCAAGGAGGCCTGACTAACTGTCTCAAGAAGCATCTGTTCAAGATATGAGCATCTGGGCTTCATGGATAGACCATTAACTCATCAGGTTCCATTTAGCCAACCTCTGAGAAGCCCATCTTTCTCTTCACTCGTAAAACTTCCTTTGAAGAATAGATTTTCTTAGAGGGATGCAAGCAATGCATTTGTTCTTTATGCCCCAAGACTTGTTTAAGAGGATCCACACACCTGAGTCCATGGAGTCTCAAGTCTTGAACTTGATCATTCTGAACTGGAGAAGAGGGTAGGGAATGTCAGGGCTCTCCGCTGGACCATATTCTGGCAGTATGGTCCACTTCCTTCATGCCCTCATCCTGCTGACATTTCTTTGGTACTCTCTATAAATTACATAGAACTTGGGAGCAGGCCTATCTGCCTTCTGTTTTCTTTGACATTCAGCTTGGTGGCCTGTGATATTTTCACGTCATTGTTTGCAGAAGTCCATTGTCCCTTTCTCCATGAGCCTGATCTAGTCATTTGTGATCTTCTCTCTCTCTCTCTCTCTCTCTCTCCCCCTTCCTTCCTTCTTTCTTTCTTTCTTTTTTTTCTTTCTTCCTCTCATTTGTTTATTTTCTCCTCCATGTTTCAAATTAATTGGGGACTTAATGTCTGGCAAGCACTTGGGGCTTAGCAAAGGAGAAGGGCCTGTTGTTACTTAACCCAAATGGAATAATTTCATGGGTGATTATAATCCAGCTGTGCATACAACATGTAGAAAGCTTCTGGGCTTCTTGCGCCTATAAAGGTTGGTTATCCTTTGCATATTTTTACATGTGGCGGTGGGTGGGCACTAGCAACTCTGAAAGCTAATGTCCTGGCTTTATTGAAATGGCTTCATTTTTTTTTTCTTTAACAAAGTAAAGAAACAGGCTCCCCTAAGATTAGGATGTGGGTAATTCTCACCTTTTTCCTTCTTCAGTCAGATGTTCCAGCCCTTGAAACACAGGTGATTGGTCCTTATGCTTTTGTCTTTAATCATCCTTATGACCTTGGGATGCCCTCTCTCAACCTCATGCTCATCCTCATTATGTTGTCATGGCTTTGCCATGGTGGCTCTTCATTCTTCTTCAGTTTTAACATACATGTTTCTCCCTCTTTGATGTTCTCATTTGGAAGATGAGTATGTATTGACCTAAGATATTCTCTTTACCGTCTGTTCACCTACAAAATAAGGCGTGGTCAATTTACTTAATTCTTTGTAAAGATGGAGGGAGAGAGAGAGAGAGAGAGAGAGAGAGGCTGCAGAGCAAACCCTCTTTGGACATTATGATGAGCACTCCACCACTGAGCCCATGTGCACTTTGTAGCCAGTGTCTATGAAAGCGGGACTGCTGAAGTCTCAGAGTTAACACCAAGAAAGAGCAGAAGGTGCATGAATGTCTGTAGGAAGCTAACTTAGCTGTCAAGAACTCCATTTATCTGACAGAACACATGAGCCCTCAAATGCTCTAGCCATCTCCCATGGGCTCTGCATGAATAAATATTCCTTTAGAGACCTAGTCAGGCATCAGGGAATGTTGGGGTAGCACATCCCAAAATCACACCTGGTGTGGGAAGTACTTCTGTCTGTGTGTTGCTTTTATTGGTTAATGAATAAAGAATCTGTCTTGGCCTGTGATAGGGTAGAGTAGATCTAGGCGGAGAAAACTAAACTGAATGCTGGAAGAAAAAAGGCACAGTCAAGACAAGCCATGCTTTTCAAGAGAAGTAGAGACCAGAGACAGACACTGAACAGAATCTTGCCGGTAAGCCACAGCCACGTGGCGATACACAGATTAATAAAAATAGGTTTACTTAAAATGTAAGAGTTAGCCAGAAATACACTTAAGCTATTGGCCAAACAGTATTGCAAATAATTCAGTTATTCAGTTTCTGTGTGGTTATTTCAAGTCTGGGTGGCCAGGAAATGAACAAGTGGCCTCCTACAACACATACCTCCAGCGAATAAAGGAAGTGAGTCAAAGAAGTATAACTATCCTCATGGTACAGAACACTAGAGAGCATGGCCCAGAGGCAGCCTTTGTCTGATTTCTAGCCCTTTCTTCTGTGTTCCTTTGGAAACAGCCTCGAAACAACCAAGAAGGACTTCTTTGTCAGCTCCTTGTTTGCTTATTCCAATAGCAATCTCTCCTCTCTTTCATCTGTTCTCCCTTTGAGATAATTTTGTAATATAGCCGTGCTACTTTGGAATTCAGTATCCTCCTGCTTCAGCTACCCAAGTATATAGGCATGGGCACTATGCCTTCTGTTTTCTGATCCCAAGAGCAACAGAAAGTAAAGCATCCTGTGGCAGAGTTGACTGAGTCTCACTTGTTTAGAACAAGCGCTGACTTCTGTGTAGGTTTTAGATGGGAGACTACCTTTGACTGAACCTGGAGCCATCTCTGAAGGATTCTTTAGTGGAACTGTCAGTGCTTTACCAACACGATGTCATTTTGATGACACGCAAGGTCATATGCAGACTCAAGGCCGGTATACCCTCCCCTGCTATATTGGGTCGTTGACAGCTTGGCTTCACCTGATAGCCTTTGGCCTTGGTTTAAGTTCTAGATTCAGGTCCTTGTCTTGAGTGTCTCTTCCTGTTTACAAGCTGCAGCCTCCTCCAGAAGACTGCTGTAACTGTAGCGTCCCTGGAAGGTGGTTAGCGTTCAGGAAGAAGATGCCGTGACTCAAATGCAGAGCAGGCACTCTCTTTGTGACGGCTGAACTTGAAGTCATTGGGGGAGAAGAGTGCCATTAGGCATGGACAGCCCAGAAGGCTTGGTGGGTTCATGATTGATGAAGGATGAGGTCACGCTCTATAGCAGCCTTGTCTGTGGATAGTAGTTCCTTCTGGTGTAAGGTCGATTCCACCTAGACTCAGGGAAGGAGTGTGTTTCTGCAGTCTGGAGCGCCTCTCCAGTGTTCACCCTGAAGACCCACCATCAGTGAGCCTCATTTTGATGAATCCCCAACCTTCATTGAGCTTTCCTGGGGCACCCCTCAATCTTGCAGAACCCTTCATGGCCTCCCCCAATCTGATAAAAGAGAGAAAACTTACCCACATTGCCACAGGGAATCTCCAGTACCTCCATGCCTGTGTTATATCGGGTTACTTGCTTGGTTAGCATATCGCTAGAGACCCATGTGTTTCAGATGGACCCTGCAAAGGAAGGTCTGAACTTAAGAGAAGTGAGCCCAAATGGTTGTCTGGGTTCCAACCCCTGCTCTTGTACTTATTAAGAAATCTAGCCCTGACAGAACACCGAAGCTGTATGCCCAGACTGCCTTGACTATAAAATAGAACGAGGAAGACCTTCATCATAGAAGGAAAGGGATCAGTGTTGACCTTGGCCTCTACGTCTGCTTCCCACCCCCGCCCCTTTATATCTTTGCATCCCCAGGCTGTTGAGGAAAGCGGTAGGATACTGTTCCAGCCGTGACCTTCCGTCTGTTTTGTCCAGCTAGCTTCTTCTCCTGGGACAAGACTTCTTGCCCCCCTTAGGCTCCACCCCCTAACCTCAGATCACTGTTTACATCTCCCAGCACAGAAATGTCCCATGTGAACTCAGAAACTTGCCTTCTTACATGCTGCTGGTCCACAGATCTTTATCTCTTACGGTGGTTGCTTTCATTTCATCTGCTGTGTGGCAGCCTGTCTGCTTAGTGCCTGCCTCTGCAGGCTGGGCGCTGAGACCTGCTGTGTGCAATCAGGGGCTCCCAGGAGAGGGAGGCCTAGGGATGCAGGTGGGCTTTGTACTGCTTGTTCCTCCTCCCTCCCCACCAGCAGAGGCTGAGGCCATCTTTCCTAGGTGTTGTTGTCTGTGTTGGCTCTTCCTTTTAGGTCTTTAAGTTGCTCCCACCTCCACCGAAGTTTCTATACCTGATAAAAGATTCAGGGCATGCATCAGAGCCCTAGAGGCCAGGCTCAGCTTTTCTTTCACTAATAGCTATATATAATTTTGCAAATTGTAGGCATTCTATTTTAGGTAAGTTCTTTCTTCTCTCTCTCTCTCTCTCTCTCTCTCTCTCTCTCTCTCTGTCTCTCTCTCTCTCTCTCTCTCTCTCTCTCTCTCTCTCTCTCTCTCTTTCTAGTGAGGTAGAGTGTCCAGGAAATGCTCATATTTATGTAGACCATATGTCCTTGTGCCTGTACCAACTGGTGAGACAAAGTTCTCTTTCCATTGTACCAAGCTCCCTAGGATGACTAGGTGTCCTTTTCCCATGCATCCCTTTGCTTATATGGCAGACACCTCCTACTTTATCCTCGTGCACACGAGTGAGTGTATATGCATATATGTATATGCAC